TAGACTATAAATCAATGGCATACAATAAATAGAGGGAGAAGGTGAGGGAGAGCCAAGATGAATGAGGTTTGACCTAATTTTCCTTCTTTGTTGTTGCTTTCCTCCCTCTTTTTAAAAAATTTATTGATTGATTTGAGAGAGGGAGAGAGAGAGACAAAGGGGTGGTGGGGGAAAGAGAGAAACATCGATTTGTTGTTCCACTTATTTATACATTCATTCATTGATTCTTGTAGGTACACTGACACACAACTTTGGTGTGTCAGGATGACGCTCCAACCAACTGAGCCACATGGGCCAGGACTGTTGACTTTTAATTGTTAGTTGAGCAAGGCATGTATCAAAGATAAATATAATCAGTCACTTTTAAATTTGAAGTAGTTAAAAATAATTCTAGTATTACGAGTTATACATAAATGTGCTTGAAACAGATATCAAAATAAAGGATAGAATGAATTGTCATAGTTCAAATCTTTCACATGAACTATTCAGCTAGGTAAAAAGTTATTTTAAGGAGTTGACAAACTACAACCAGTCAGCAGTTACTCTGAACAAAAGAATATAATGATTCAATTAAGGCAGGAACAATCTGTTGGGCTAACTCAAAATAGGCTGATTCATATCTATATATACAAAAGGGTAATATGCAAAGTGTCCCCACAGGAGTTAGACCGGGAGTTCTATCGCTTGCTATGACATGCGCTGACGACCAGGGGGCAGCGTGGAACAAAGGAAGGCCCTGGCTGGCAGCTGGCAGCCAGGGAAGGAAGGCCCTGGCCGGCAGCTGGCAGCTAGGGAAGGGATGCCCTGGCTGGCAGCCGGAAGGAAGGCCCCGGTAGGCAGCTGGAAGGCCCTGATCAGCCCTGATCACCAGCCAGGCCTGATCACTGTCAGTGGCAGGGGGCTTCTTCCTGCTTTCCCTTTCGCCTCCCTGCATTGTGCCTACATATGCAAATTAACCGCCATCTTTGTTGGCAGTTAACCGCCATCTTAGTTGGCAGTTAATTTGCATATCGCCCTGATTAGCCAATGAAAAGGGTAGCGGTCATACGCTAATTACCATGTTTCTCTTTTATTAGTGCAGATGCCTTTATAACGTTTTCTCTAAGCAGCTAATTCTATTATCTCTTTCTAAAGTTAGAGGCATACTGTTTATTTAATGTTACCTGCTTTTACAATTTAACGGAATATCATGAACATTTTTTAGATCATTTATTCCCCTATAGTAAAACCTTATTTTTTCCACCTGCACATCAAATACCTAAAGCATACATTGATTATCCCAAAGCATTAAGACATGTAGAATATTTAATCTAAGCAGGATACCAAAGCTCATTTTGAGTTAAAAAACACAAGTTTTAATTTATACCAGGAGGATGGAGTTCTCCAAAGGTCAGTGTCAGAGTTGATTTCAGGATTTCAGTTATTAGTATTGCAGGTGAGGAGAGAGGAGAGAGGGAATAATAGGCCTCAGGTTCTTAGGTTTGTGTTTGCATCTTGATTAAAATATAGGAAAAAGTGGTTTGCTTTTCTTGACTTAAAAATGGACATAAGATGGTTTCCAGGAATTACGTTGCATCTTTTCTAACGCCCGGGTGGTCTTTCAGATATCTCTTAGGAAGTAATGCAGGACTTTGAAGGGTGAGTTTCAGAGCTGAGAGCAGGCCTCGGGGGAAATTTCAGTCCCTTGTGTGGGTCCAGATAGAACCAAAGAATATGGACTAGCTGCAGTCGCAGTCAGCCTCTCTTGTGTGTGCCCATGGACCTCAGTATCAGGCTGGACTCAGACTAGAAGGCTATTGATTCCATTGAGGCATCTGCTCATAATTAATTTCTTAAGAATGTGGCCTGTGTTGAGTGCAGCCGGAAGCATTTTCACAGACATGGCACCATCACTTGCAACCCCATTATCAGAATCTTTTGCTTTTACTGAAGTACATTCAATTAGAATTTATCATTTTTTTTGACAGGATGATCTACTTTTTATTTATTTTTAAATTTATCTTTTTGGTTTTATTTCTTATTTTTAAATTTTTATTTTATTGTTTAAGGTATTACAGATAGTAGTACATATGTCTCCTTTTTTTCCCCATTGACCTTCTCCCGGCCTCCCCTACCCCCCCCGGCATATGTCCTCACCCCACCCCCCAGTGTCTTGTGTCCATTGGTTATGCTTATATGCATGCATACAAGTTCTTCGGTTGATCTCTTATCTCCCCGCCCCTCCCCCCCCCAATAATCCCCAGCCTTCCCACTGTAATTTGACAGTCTGTTCAATGCTTCTCTGCCTCTGTATCTATCTTTTTGTTCATCAGGTTATAATGTTCTTTATTATCCATAAATGAGTGAGATCATATGGTGTTTTTCTTTTACTTCCTGGCTTATTTCACTTAGCATAATGCTCTCCAGTTTTATTGTTGAAAGTATTACAGATGTCCCCCCTTTTGTTCCCATTGACCCTTTCCACCCTGCCTCCCGCCCCTTCCAGGCCTTCACCACACTATTGTCTGTGTCTATGGGTTATGCACATATGCATATAAGTTCCCCAGTTAATCACTCCCCACCCACCCCTGTCTTCTAAGATTCATCAGTCTGTTCCATGCTTCTATATGTCTGGATCTATTTTGTTCATTAGATACTACAGATGAGTGAGATCATGTGATACTTGTCTTTCTCTGACTGGCTTATTTTGCTTAGCATAATACTCTCTAGGTCCCTCCATGCCGTCTCAAAGGGTAAGAGATTCTTCTTTTTTTCTTTTTTACTGCTGCATAGTATTCCATGGTGTAGATGTACCACAGCTTTTTTACCCACTCATCTACTGATGGGCACTTGTGCTGTTTATAGATCTTAGCTATTGTAAATTGCACTGCTTTGAGCATAGGGGTGCAGACATTCTTTCTGATTGTTGTTTCAGGTTTCTTAGGATTTAGATCTGAGGGGATAGAAACTGCTCTGTTAGGTTTGGGATTTAGTTGAACTCTTGGGTGACAAACACCTGCCTCACAAATCTTGGCAAGACCAGCTGGTTTTTGTTGCAACCTCAGAATTGCAGAGGGAATCTCAGGACACTTGGATATTTTATACCAAAGAACCTTCCATACCTCAGGCATGGAAGTATTGAAAATATCCCAAGAACAAGTGATTAGTTTATTCCCCGTCCCCATGCTTTAGTCTGGCACCTCTCTGCCTCCCTAATTGTTAAAAGGATTTGGAAATGAGGCTTTGCATTTTTTTTTCAAGGAATTTGTCCATTTTATCTATGTTTTCTAATTTGTGGGCATAAAGTTGTTTGAGATACATCTTTTTTATCCTTTAGACATCTATAAAATCTTTACTGATGTTGCCTCTTTGATTCCTGAACTTTGTAACTTGTGTCTTCTTTTTTCCTGGTTAGTCTGGCAAGAGGTTGTTCGATTTTATTGATCTTTTTATTTTCTCTTTTGTTTTTATGTTTGAAATTTCATTTGCTTTTGTTGTCTTTATTATTCCCCTACTTCTGCTTGTTCTCAGTTTACTTTGCTTTTATTCTTTTAGTTCCTTAAGGTAAAAACTCGGGTTATTGGCTTGACAGCTTTCTTCTTTCCTAATGCAGTCAAACCTCATTTCTCCCATCTCCAACAATTGGTTCTCCACCAAGTTGTTCACAGAAAAAATGGGTTGTTGAACCAAACTGCAGTCTTTCAGGCAACAAACAAAAGAGAGAATGCTTTTGTTGCTGGCGAAATCAACCATTAGTTCAATTTTAAAACATAAAGAGGCCATCAAGGGTACTAATGTTGCTAAGGATGTGAAAGAAATAATGATCACAGCCTAATGAAGAGGTAGAAAAACTGTTATTGATTTGGATAAACAAAAAGCAGTTAGCCAGTGACAGCATTTCGGAGGCAATGATGTATGAACAAGCAAAGATGCTGCATATTGACCTGAAAGACACCCCTGGACTGAATACTAAAAGTGATTGGTGTAAGGCTAGTAGGGGGTGGTTCAATACATTTAAGAAAAGAAGTGTTTATTTATAGACTAGAGGCCTGGTGCACAAAATTTATGCATGAGGGGGGTGGTGTCCCTCAGCCCGGCCTGCACCCTCTCCAATCCGGGACCGCTGCTCCTAACTGCTCACCTGCCTGCCTGCCTGTTCGCCTCTAACCACTGTGCCTGCCTTCCTGATTGCCCCTAACCCCTCTGCCTGCCTGCCTCCCTGATCTCCCCTAACTGCCTCTGCCTGCTGGCCTGATGGCCCCTAACCACTCTGCCTGCCTGCCTGATTGCCCCTAACCACCTCTGCCTTGGCCCCTGCCACCGTGGCTTTGTCCGGAAGGATGACTGGAAGATGTCTGGTCTATCTGGTCTAATTAGCATATTATCCTTTTATTAGTATAGATTAAACAGTATATTAGACATGTACTGTCTATGAGAAAGGTTAAAACGGGGAATCATTTGGGGATCTAGTATGGATTAATTCAACTTACATTATTTCTAATGGGGAAAAAATGAATCGATTTTTGAACAAATCGCTTCTTGAACAGCTTTCCAGAATGAATTAAGTTTGAGAACCGAGGTATAAACATTTAATGCTATGAATTTCCCTCCAAGCACTGCCTTAGGTGAGTATCTCAATTTTTCCATGTTATATTTTTGTTTTCTTTCGTTTTCATTCACTTTAAAATGTTTTCTAATTTGCCTTGTGACTTCTCTTTGCTACAGAGGCCTCTTAGAAGTGTGTTGTTTAATTCCCAGATATTTGGTTTGGTATCTTTTTGAACTCTAAGAATGAATTTCTAATAAGTTGAAACTCTGGTGAGAAGGCATTTGAATTTACACATGACAACATGGCAGATTTTTCACAGTAAAGTGAAACCCTGTCATGCTATTTTCATTGTATGAACTTGAAAAAAGGATATCTTCAGCTATTTTAATATGCTTAGTAGTACTTTTAATAGGATTTTAAGGCAAGTATTGGGACCTTTCTGAGTTATGTGTCTTATCTTTGTTCTTTTTAGTGCATTATCATTGGCAGAACTGGATCCTGAAAAATTCATGAAAGATGCTAAGCACCTACACTGCTTTAAGAATCTGGAACTGAATTGTGAAAAGGCAGAAAGAAGTAAGAAATTGGGAACCTGAAGAGCCCTGCAGAAGAAACACACACCAAAGGAACATTGCTGCTTTCTGTTGTTGCTGTGGTCCAAGGGAGGAGATGCGTGCTGCCAGGCAGGGATAGTGCCCTGCAGGGCAGACACCTGCACCTCCCTCACAAGAAGGTTTTGTTAGTTCCTATGATGTCTTGGCTTACTTTTGGAACAAGTGGGCTCAACATCATTTGTCATCGAGTTCTCCTTTCACACTGTGGTTCATTTCTGCTTGTCCACGATGGGTCTCAAATGCATTCATGCTGTCCATGTTCTTCCCAACACTGGCCAAGCCAGGGCCTGTGTGTTAAGGTGTAAAGAGAACTGTCACCAATGATAATGTATTGTGTGAGAACTTTGCATCTTGTAAATTTCCTCTTTTTTCTAAAAATAAATAAAAAAAATGATAAACCTCAACAGGTTATTCTTTCAAATAACCCTTTTATACAAGGCCTTCCCGTAGTGGCCCACATAGGCCTCTCATTCCACAGTGAGAGCTTGTCGATGGCAATTTGTAGTTGATGACATTTTACTTGGACATGAGATGGCAGGAAAGGGGAGTGTATGTGGGAAAGACATCCAGTTTCAGAAAGGCCAGATGACTGAGGCCAAGCGTGGCTGCCATATCTGGTTTATCCACGTTTGGGAGGCCCGAGGAAGGCCTCAGCATGTTAGACCGTACAGATGCCCTTTCTCCTGGAATTGCTTGGTTGTCCATATATCCAAGCCAATATCTCCACAGTTATATGAAGACAGAACCACATTCTGCCAAGGAGTTTTTCAGTTCATTTTAATCTACGAGGGCCACGGTTATAGTGGTCATTTTCAGACATTATTTGATGTCAATAGTAATATCTATTTATAATATATTAATGATTATATTAAACAGAGTTATCCTTTCTTGAAATACTCCTTGCCTGACTATAGAAGAGACATTCCTGACATTATTATAATGCAGAAACTCTGTAACCTTTATAATAAATCTGAGTCCCTCTAGTCTGATCCAATTGTTTACTTCAAATAAAAACACAGAAAATATGGGGAAAAGATAAGCTCAAATCACATCTCTGATGAACATTAAGTACTTAGAATATGGAGTTGGAAAGGGGTTTGGCAGATTACTTTATTCTGAATTGATACAGATGGTCCAGGATAATTCATGATAGTTTAAACCTGGATTTGAAATCATTACATCCCAGATGCAAACCCCTGGCCAGCTCCTCCAGCTCTATGGACAGCTCTTCTGTTTCAGTTATTGTGGTTTTTACAGAGTGAATTCACCTTCAAGTTACTTGAATCTACAATTTTGAAAAAACTCAGCTGTAAGGTTGTAGAATTGCTGAACAGGTTTGTCATACATTTCCCTGCCATTACACTTTATCCACACCAATTAATGCTGTCCACAGCTGCAGCCTGTCCTGGTGGTAATGGGTAATGAAGATGGCATTGAGAGCAGAGCTAATGTGCTTGATGTTGGGATGGAGGTAATAGGATAAAGTCCCTTGTATCCCACAATCTAGTTTCTGGATCTCATTTGAAAGGGGCTCAGACAAATTGTAGTGTGAGTAGTGCCACGTGTCAACTTGTGGACGGATCTGAAAACCAGAAAGGAAGAAGAGCTGAAGGGGAAAAACACCAAACTGAATATTTGAAAGACACGGACAAGACACTGGGTCAGGAACAAAACTAGGAGCAATATGTATCCGTTGATTAATATAGATGTTGGCTTGATCAGCATAAGTCCAAAATCAGGGTAAGTCCAAAATCAGGGTGTCGCAGGGCTGTGCTTCCTACCAAGGCTCTAGGGAGGATCCTTCCTTGCCTCTCCCAGCTTCCGGTGGCTCCTGGTGTTCCTTGGCTTGTGACCACATCACTTCAATCTCTGCCTCCATCTTCACATGGCCTCCCTGTGTCTGTTGCAAATCTCCCTCTGTCTTTTCTTATGACACCTGTCATTGGATATAGGGCCCACCCTAAATACAGAATGATTGCATCTTGAGATTCTTAACTTGATTACATCTGCAAAGACCCCTTTTTTAAATAAGGCCACACTCACAGGTTCCGCCTAGCATTGGGGGCAGTGTCCTCTCCCCTTTGGGGCTGTCCCACCTCCTGAGCTATCTTCTCAGCTTTTCTTACTGTTTTTAGGCCCTGTCTGTCACTGACTTAGTGCCTTGGGTGCTCTTGGAGTCCCCGGGCAGGAGCCGAAGGCCCCAGTATCTTGATAAAGCTCTCACTGGTACAAGAAGAAAACAGAGTGATGGTCTCTGCCCTCTGCTGAATTATGGCTGAGTTCCCATTCCTGCTGGCCTGCTGCTTCCCCCACCCTCTTTAGATCCTGTAGTCCTCCTTCCTGCTCAGCTAAGGGTCAGATAGTCAACAGGAAGGACAAGACAATGTGTATTCTTGAAGAAGACAGCGCTGACTAGGGGGCAAGTCCACCCTTGAAACTCCAGATGGATAATTGTTGCTGGTTGAAAACTGACAATCACTGATAATAAAGTTAATTTCAATCCCTATCTCCCCCCCACCCCCAACAACAACAACACAGATGCTGGCTTGATAGAAGGTAAAGCTTTCTAACAACACCATTCAGAAGTGGATGGTGATGTTGGGAGCTATTAGTGTTTGAGCAGAAGTTCTGAGCCTTCATATGTGTGGGGAGATTTTTTAAAATTTTAATTAATTAAAAAAATTTCCTCCCTCACAGCATGCAGGGAACATGATAAATGTTGGAAAATGTTTGCTACTTTCATAACATTGGATTGAAGGAAGGTTTTCTATCATCCTGAAGGTCACTTTCAACACCTAGGAACAGAGAAGCAGCAGTGTGCACACTAATGACTGCCTCAAGAGGGTCAGATCTAACCACTGGGCAAGGTAATAAAGAAAAAAATGAAAGTTCCAGGCAATAGCCCATGACACCCACAGCTGCATCAAACAGACAGCTAATTTCTTCCCTCCCCCACGCCCCCTCACTAGCTTTCTGAAGGTCATTTCTAACTCTTCCTGTGGGACCAATGGCCAAATTGGATTTGAGATGTAGTTTTACTTGCAGAGTATAAAACTCTCAGTCTTTACACCCCTCCAAATATCTCCAACTCCTCTTTCTGCTTGTTTATAAAGCTTTCTGTGTATTGTTCATTAGAATATTGTTTGAACGACGGTGGGAGACAAGAAGCGTACCATGCATAGCTTTTCTTGGCAGACTGCAGGCCAGTACTTTAAACAGAACATTGTCTGATAACACTGGGTACCAGGCTACGTTTAATCTTGCCTTTCGTGGTTTACTTTACAGGAGACCAAGCTCTTCTGGCGATGCAAAACATAGGCCAAATAAAGACACCTTCTGGGGTGGACACTGCATAGACTGCTACATGGTTGGTGATCCTCAGGAAGGCATCTTCTCTATCAAGCTGCATCCTCACTGGATGGGCGCCAACTGGTAGACAGAGAATGTGATATTTCATTGATTTGATCATAAGGAACACAGTTCCACAAACTCACTGTCTCCTCAGTTAGTTTATTGCTCTTTTCTGCAAGTTATTGTCCTTATTTTATTTTTGTTGAATAATAATGTCCTTTCTTGTTAAATTTTAATCCATCAGTACAGGACTCCGTCTAAGAGCAGGCTGCCTTCCTGTAGCTTCTTTTTTCTCCAGAACAGCCCATTAGCAAACACTTCCCCATCATGGGCCAGTTTCCTCATCTGTAAGATGTGGGGGTCAGAGTGACTGCCATCTGAGTTCTGTGATTATCTGATGGCCCAGGGAGCCCAGCAAAGTGCTTTACATCCTAAGTGCTCTTAAGATGTTTAAGGCATGCTTTTCAGAGGATTAGAAATAATTTGCTATTTGAGGGAGCTTACATCTCACCATCCTCTCTAAAATAGGACTTCTGGCATTGGAAACAAAGCTAAAGACTCTGTCTAGGTCTCTAAGAGATAATAATGTAATAATAGTAACCATGCATTTGGTGATTGTAGCACATGGATAAGTAAAATGAATGTCAGTAATTCATAAGGCTTGGGAGGGAGGAATTGAAAATATTTTGTTGTATATTACCTTCACTACATGTGAAGTGGTATAGTGTTATTTGAAGGTGGACTTAGATTAGTTTAAAAGTATAGGGAAACTACTATATTTTCTATAAGAAATCCACTTTAAATATAAATACTCTGAAGAGTTAAAAGTAAAGGGATGGAGAAAGATGAACCATGCTAACATTAATCCAAAGAAAGCTGAAGTAGCTATATTAATTTCAAACAGACATCCGAACAAGGAGAATTATATGGATAAAGAGGGCCACTGTATAATGATAAATGTGTCAGTTCTCTAAGAATACATAACATTAGATGCATGTAACAACAGATCATCAAAATGAGGCAAAACTGATAGAGCTAAAAAGAGAAACAGACAAATCCACTATAGTCGCTGGAGACTTCAACGTCTCCCAGTCAGTAATTGATAGGTCAAGCAGGCAGAAAATCAATAAGGATAAAGTTGACCTGAATAGCACTGTTAATCAACTTGATCTAATTGACATTTACTGAACACTCCATCTACCAAAGCAGAATACACATTTTTTCCTCAAGCTCACATGGAACATTTACCAAGATAGCCCATATCCTGGCTCATGAAACACACCTTAACAAATTTAAAAGACTAGCAATCTCAGACCACAGTGGAATTAAACTAGGAATCAATAATAACAATACTTGGGAAATCTCTCAAATAATTAGAGAATAAACAACACACTTTTAAGTAATTCATGGATCAACAAAGTCTTGATAGGAATTTTAAAATATCTTGAACTAAGTGAAAATAAACATGCAGCTTATTAAAATTTATGGGAGGAAGTACAGTGGGGCCTTGACTTACAAGTGTCCCGACTAACGAGTTTTTTGAGATACCAGCTGTCTCGGCCGATTTTTTGCATTGAGTTGATAGAGTAATTTGAGTTAACGAGCTCCTTAACGAGCTCCGTCTCTGAACGAATTAAGCTCGTAAGTCAAGGCCCCACTGTAAAAGCAGTGTTTAGAGGGAAATTTATAGCATTATGTGCATATATAAGAATAGGAGAAAGAGCTAAAATTAAAATATATTCATGCCGCCCCCCCCCCCGCCCCCTCACACACACACACAAAAAGTACAAGTAAGGTAGCTCCACTGCTTGGAGAGGTAATTGCGAAATAATAGTAATAGTGACATCAACAACAATTTGGTGATGGTGATGATAATGACTGACAGTGATGATGATGATGATGATGATGGGTGATGCCTCCATAGTGCTCTTTGTGTGCCAGATGCTGTTCTAAGCAGTTCTCATGTACTCGGGCATTTAGTACTTAAAATAGCCCTCTGAGGAGAGTACTGTTAGAATCCCCACTTCACAGAGGAGCCACTGAGGCACAGAGC